CGCGATCTTTACATTTTGAGCGAAATTCATGAGGACGTGTTTTCGTAGGCTCATAGCTCGGCGAACTTTATAGACTGGAGCCTGAGCATGCACCTTTTGATAGCACAGTTCCCAGTGATTTTGACTTGGAAAAGCAAGCAGGCAAGTTTTCTGACAAATTCGCGAAAAGTGCGGGCAAATTTACGAACTTTCGTGACTCAGTTAACCTCACGATATCTCTACAAAAAGTCTATATCTACAGTTGTGACCGTGGAATTTGTCCAAAATTGCGGGATTTTCGGGATTTGCGGAATTTTCGGATTTTCGGGATAAGCCAAATCCACACGCAGATTGCACATAAAGTGGATTTAAAAGAAGTTATAGCTAAATCCCGCAAGTCCCGCAAACCCCGCGACTCCCGCAAATCCCGTGAAGTCGCGAATCCCAAAAATCCCGCAAATCCCGAAAATCCCGCAATTTTGGACAAATTCCACGGTCACAACTGTAGTACGATTTTGACGATTTTGCTTCTATAACAAAGGCGGCCAGCGGCGGCTATGGGCTGCCAAGGGCTGCTGGCGGCTGCTACGGGCTGCTAGCTGGCGGCTGCTGCGGGCTGCTGGCGGCTACTACGGCTGCTAGCGGCGGCTGCCGGCGCGGTATGAAGCAGCCGCCGCTGGCCACCCTCATTTAAAAAGATGTGAGCGATTATCAAGGCAAGAAGAACTCAACCCGCAAATTAATCCCGGCGAACTTGCGAAATAGTAGAATGCAAGTTACATATGCACCGATAGCCAAGAAAAAATTAAAGCAGAAGCATACTCAAAAAACAAATTGCACACCTGCTAGAACCCGACGCATCCAAAGTCAGAGAGAATTACACCGGAAAGAACCTTCTACCAACTATGGTTCAACAGAATGAACGACGAGAAGGCAATGACAACAATGGGCACATATACGATATATGGTCAAACTGCGTACTAGCGGCAACAAAAGAACGTAGAAGATGAAAAGCGTAGACAGGAGCATTCAAAGTAGTAAGATTTTGATAATTTTGCTTATATAACGAAAGCGGCCAGCGGCGGCTGCTACGGGCTGCTGGCGGCTGCTGGCGGCTGCTACGGGCTGCCAGCGGCGGCTGCCGGCGCGGTGTGAAGGCACCCTTAGGATAAACTACGTCTAGAGAGGTATCCTGCCATATCACCCTTTCCCCAAATTGGTTTGTTTATGCAGGTTTTGATAGTCCCTGAAAGGTGCGTGCTAACTCGGAGTTAACTCTGAGTTTGAGCTGCGCGTGTCGAGAGGTTTACAACCGACCCTAATAATTTCATGCAAACTCAAGTAGAGTTGTTGTTTTGTAAAGTGTGACAGCAGATTTTTGTATGTTACTCTGGCGTAAGAGGAGAATTTCTAACAGTTCTTGTTATAATAAAAGGAATCTAGAAAACCTCTACCCTCCTGCGAATGCGCATGTTTGACCATAAATCTCTATGGGGTAGCTTTCCTAGGCCATGAGAAGGATAAATCAAGGTATGTATGGCCGGCTATGCACGATTATTCAAAAACAACTTTGCACTCAAGGCTGTGACAGCAATTTTAAAATCTTAGTTGTCAGATGTTTAATTTTGAAAGCAATTGACAGCGAAAGTATCATTGAGTGCCCTGCGGCCCAATCTGCTAACAATGCACACTAAAAATTTATTTCACGGTTTTTTGAACAAGGGGATATGCTGCAGTGATAAGCAAGCCACGGCACAGCCGTTGCGCTTGTAATGAAAAACCTTTGAACAAAATTTGTATATGTTGTAGTCTTCTACTTGTATTTGTACTTGTACTTGTGGTGAGTCCGGGACGCTTGTAGAATACTATTAGGGTGATCCAAAAGTAATGGGTCACCTAGGGAATAAATGCAGTTTTCTCGATTAGAAAAGCTAATTGGAAGTCCGAGTTTTGGCAGATGTTAGTACATAACAAAGCCCTCATCGAGGTCTATAATTGGGCACTGTCACGTGGCGTTATTTTTATAAGCGTAAAATAAAAGCTCATTACTTCAAGTGATTTTGAACTTCGAGCAGCAGCGTCGCAGTAGAACAAGTGAGCCTACCAAAGATATCTGCGCAGCAATTGGTGAGGGGACTGTCACCAAATCCACTATAGCTCGGTGGTCCCAAAGCTTTAAAACAGAAGATATAGCATTGGGTATCAGGAGACATAATACTTAACCAGTGCGTCACCTCAGCTTCGCGGAGGTTCGCACCGGCTCCCTATCCGTATGCCTTTCTCATGTTCGCATGAGAATGGCTTTGGAACTCACCACGCGATGCTGCGCATCACAAATGAATTGTAAACAACTGTTCATTCATGAAGCATCTCCATGTAAGAGCGGTGATCTTGAGAAAAAAAGCTTTGTTGCAAGGAAATAAATGCGAATTTGAACGGATTACGTATTTTTTTTGATTTGATAATCGTCATAAGGATAATAGACACCTTAGGCTACATTTCAGTGCAAAAATCTTCTCAGTTTTTTTCAAATAAAACCTTGCCAAATCGATTACCTACGCGTTCATCACTTTTTGGCGCTATTTTCGCAAAAAAAACTTTTTGAGCACTTTTTGGGCTAGAATTCATAGCGCGCAGAGTTAGGCTGGGTTCATACTGATTCCCATGTTCTGGAACTGTTCCCGCACAGTTCTCGCACTGTGCTGGAACTGTGCGGGAACTGTGCGGGAACAGTTCCAGAACTGTGCTGCATGCGCTGCAGCCGCCCCGCACCGTTCTGAACGGCCGGAGTTGGAGAATTTTGACCGTTCTCAATGGTTTTTCTTCCAGATTTCGCTCATTTTGGCCTTATTCCTCCACCCTGCTTCCCTTTTTGATCAGCAGAACTTCGAACTCGAAGCGCGGTTGAAGAATGAGCGCTTTTCTGCGCCGTGTATTCGGAAAGATGGGCTATCGTGCGATTGTTCATTCTGTCTTCGTGTTTTTTGGTCAAAACTACTTCATTTGTTCCAGGAAGCGGCTGCGCAGTTTCCATAGCCATCTGCGACGAATTAGGGAGTATTGAGTTGGGACTTGCCTCTTGTTTTTCATGATTTTGGGCGTTCTTAGCCTTGTTCGTTTTTCCATGTCGCTGCTTTTCCGTTCTTTCTTCTACCCCGCTTCTCCCAGTGATGAGAAAAGCTGTGAATTTGAAGCGGGGTTGAGGATTGAACGCTGTCTGCTCCATGTATCCGGATAGATAGGCTCTCATGTGCTCGTCCATTCTCTCATCGCTATTTTTGTTCAGACCTACTTCACGTGTACTAAGAAGTCACTGCGTACAATACCGCTCATAGTTCGTCAAAAAAGTCGCCGGACTGCGGCGCACTCCGCCACACTCCGCCACAGTGTGGCGGAGTGTGGCGGAGTGCGCCGGAGTGCGGCAGAGTGCGCCACACTCCGCCGCAGTGCGCCGGAATGATCGTCAATTTACCCATATCTCGCTTCAGAATGGACGAATTCTGAATCCGAGGATACCGTTCGATTCGGCTCAGTACTCTGCGTTGATACCACTGCT